ATATTGATTGTGAACAAACATCTACATTCAATCAGACTTTGTGTTGACGTACAGAACTGTGATTTATTGTTTATACTACTTGGTGCTTTCATGCAAATTACAAATATGTTTTATTGTCTTAACCTTCAGAGAAATTCAGGATGGTAAAAATCTTGCATTATTATAATGCTAAGTGATGAGCTATCATTACAAATGGTAAGGATCTCATTCCAATTCTTTGTAGAATTTCTCTCAAGATTAAAGATCCTACTTTGTTGTCTAGGACGTAATAATGGCATTCAACCAATTCATACTTAACTCATTATATGTAGTATTATCATAAACTTCATGTCTGTGACAATGTAAATGTAAAACTTAACGCTCTGATGTGAATTTTTTGGTAAAAGGAATTGAGTTAAAAGTATATTTACATGCTGTTGAAGAGGGATTGAATTTGTAGTCAAAGTTTTACAAACTCATCAATTTTCTACCGATGTCATTGTGTGGATATGCTGTAGTGCTAATTCATTTTGTCTTTTATTCAGCAGATTTTCAGTAAATTTCACCAGAAATGTGTATATGAACAGCATATGATAATTGTAAACAAAAGTTAAACTTGGATGTTAGTCTTGAAGATTGATTTTATCCAGAATTGAGATTTCTTCAACATATCAAAGATTTAAGATGCCTAAATTTTCATCAATAAAGAAAAACTTGCCGTAAAGTCTTGCAGACAAACATAGATTTTCAATATGTCCATTGATCTCATGTTCATGTATATATAATTATATAATTATGTGTTACTCCACTGCCTGTAGAAATAGTGATGATGAATGTTATTTGAATGTAGAATTTGGTTGAGTGATATTGCTGTTGTAATTATTTTGTTATACATATTATATTCTATGTTTTTTGCTACAATTTTATGAATATGTAGTTTGTGTTGAATATTTTTCATTGAAAGTTGTAAAGTTGGAGTTTTGCAAATCTGTTTTTGCTTTTGAGTAGGACAAAAATTTAGAACCATTTTCAATTAAATTCAGAATTTTTTTGAGTTTCAAGATTTTTAAGTAGATTAAAAACTATAATTTTTCCTACCTTTTAAAGTGTACAACATATACACAAAAGGACGAAATTAGATCATTTTCTTGGTAAAAGTAGAAACAGTAGTTCAGTGGTGTGCTTTGTTAACAATATTTGATGTTTAAAACATGCATTGTAAAGCTGTACATAAGCAATGAAATCCTTTACAACTCGGTAAAAGAAACCATTTTTTTATCATCTCAATAAATTGATAAAATTGAATTAAAGTTGTTACGTTTTATAGATGTGATTCCAACCTATATCTACCAAAAGCCAGACTGTGTGTTCAATGGAGATCAAGGAAATTATGCTGAATGACTTAATATTAAACTCAGGAAGGTTCAAGTCACAGAACATTTATTATGCATCATTTATATTGGTTGATGAACCAATGAATCAAATGGAATGGGTAGTGGTCGAGTTCCACTGCACTTATATTTAAGGTATTCAATGTATAACGACCATATTTTGTACCTAATAAATGAATGGTCCGAAATAAATAACCATGGTAACATTTTGAAGGTGTAATGAAATACACATACCCCATCAAAGGAATTTACACAATTTTAATTACTGTCCAATTAATTGCACCTTAAATTTTACATTGACGTCTATGGGCAGCGAATGTTTTATTAAGATACTGTAAAAAGTAATGTGAATTTCCTACAAATCTCTCGGTGAAAATATGCATAAACTCTTTTTTTTATTAAAATATAAAATAAAATGAATCATTTACCACAGATATTTTGACAAAATTAAAATTTTCTTTTCATCAAGGACAGATAACTCTTCAAAAACTTTTCAGGTGCAAAATGATCAGCTTCTTATTTGTTATCATTCATGTGAATTTGGCTTATTTCACTTTCATCGTTATCTAGCAATGTATTTTTAACTAGTTTAAAACGATTCAAAATTATTCAAAATCCTTCTTTATACGTTGAATACCTTAAACTGAATGTTTATGGCGCACACCGAATATTCCTCATTTCACAGTCAAGATAATCAATACTTTTAATATTAATATTGCATGTTCTTTGTAAAATCAGTATTCAAAGAAAGTGAAGACTTGGTACTTTCAAGGATAAAGGTTTATTATAAAATTGTAACCCTTTCCGTTGATAATAGTTTTCAGGAAATGGTTATCCAAACACGCCAAGTATGTCAGATCTTTCGACACAAATAAAAGAAACTTCAAATATTTGTTGACACCGACACATGGTTCCCCAAAAATGCTGTTATCAGCAGACAGTCTACAGTGTCTGTAACCGTTACAGGACCACTTGGCATGCTCTGTGGATGAATGTGACTGACATCGAAGAGAACCAAGGTTACGTGAAGGACAGATTTCATCAGTGGTTCTTCCATATACAGCAGAGATTATTCGGATTAGCTTCCTTGCTTCACACATAATGTAACCCGTCTGTCCTTCACACAACACAAATGACTGCCCTAGAAATAAATTCTGAAATCTTAAGACGTATTAAGGTCAGACGACACGTTCCTTAATAATATATGATTTTCCCTAAGAATTTGTCATTAAAGTATTGCTTCGTCCGCAAGTTTACTCACAAAAAATGGGTTCCTTACAAGACTTTTGTGCAAGATACCAGAATATGATGTTTCCTATATAATTCTATTGGAAATCACTTGAATTGACAATATAATAACTTTTGGCGTATTTCTTTTTTTGGGACATTTTGAAAAATAGATTATATATTAATTAATATTTTCTATATATTACGAAGAGATATTGGAGATATTTGAGGAACGTGTCGTTTAACCTTAATTAAAGTTTTACCAAATGCATCTTAGATGAACTTCATTTGAAAATTAGTTCAGACAAAAACAAGATGTGTTTGTGAAACACTGATGCCCCCGTATGGCAACTTATAGCGAAGGTTAAACTTTCTCAAATGCAAATCAAATATGCTGGTACCCAAAGTAAGGTCTTGTACCGAGGAATATGTGAAATGTGAAAGCCCTAGCAGCAACCATTGAAAAGATATGGAAAAGTTAAAATTTTTCAAAAGTAAGTCAAACATCAAGCTAGGTCAAATGGTCAAAATTAATGGCACCCTAGGAAAGGCCTTCTCACAAAAAATACACATGTGAATTATGAAAGCCCTAGCATTAACCGTTTAAAAAATATGGCCAAGGTTAAAGTTTTTCAAAAGTAGGTCAAACTTCAAGGTCAAGGTCAATGGGCTATAATTGGTGGTATCTAAAGGAAGGGCTTGTCACAAGGATTACACATGTGAAGAATGAAAGCCAAAGCACCAACTGTTCAAAAGTTATGGCCAAGGTTAAAGTTTTCCAAAAGTAGGTCAAACTCCAAGGTCAAGATCAAAGGGTCAAAGTTGTTGGTATCCAAAGGAAGGTATTGTCACAAGGATTACATATGTGAAAAATGAAAGCCCTAGCACCAAATGTTCAAAAGATATGGCCAATGTTAAAGTTTTTTCAAAAGTAGGTCAAACTCCAAGGCCAAGGTCAAAGGGTCAAAGTTGTTGGTATCCAAAGAAAGGTCTTGTCACAAGGATTACACATGTGAAATATGAAAGCCATAGCATCAATTTTTCAAAAGTTATGGCCAAGGTTAAAGTTGGGAAAAATTTTGCAAAGCTGGGTCAAACTCCAGGGTCAAGGTCAAAAGGTCAAATATGGTGGTACCCAAAGAAAGGTCTTGTTACAAGGGATACACATGTAAAATATGAAAGCCATAACTCCCACCAATCAAAGGTTATGGGCAATGTTAAAGTTTTTGCGGACAAACAGACAAACAGACAGACGGACGGACAGGGCAAAAACTATATACCCCCGAATCTTCGATACGGGGGCATTAAAATGGGACAGATATTCCGTGTCTTTGTACAATAAATAATCTTCAAAGACTAGGAGAGGTCAATGTGAGGGAGAATGAAATGTGTTAACTAATAGTGCATTAGAACTATTGTTTTGTTTAGTCTGTATGAGGATAGTGACAAATGGGGGAAAGTACAGGCAATTAAATAGATCAACTTTAAGATCTGTTATTGAGTACTAAATTAATATTTCGGTGATCCCTGATCATCCTATTTCTCATGCTTTTGGACAACACAGCTTTATTTATCAGCTTATTTTGTTTTAATCTGTGGATCTTTACATTACACTCAGTTGACCGTCAAGGCCCTTGGGCCTCTTGTTCTTTTTACATGTATGTAGAACTAATATGCCAATTATCCTAAAATCAAGGGGAAAAAATCTCTCTTATTTGTAAGAATTCGTCAGCTTCCGGTGGCGAAGATCCATGTTAACACAGGATATAACATAAATTTTACAGAAATTTTAATTTTTTCTGAAAAGATTTTTTTTTTTAACTTATCAAGTTTTTAATTAAACTTAACCTTTTCAGAGGTTGCTTACTTTGAATATCAAATATGTGCTTATATTAATCAAGCGACAGAATCCAGACATACTTGTAGCATTAGGGGTGTTTTTAAGAGTGTTACTGTCGTTGACGGTCACTTTAAAGATTAACTTAATTGCTCTCTCTGCATCCAGTTTAAAATTCAAAACTGACACTCTTCCCGACAAACTGTTTATGGTCACTACGTCCTAAGCAAATATTCACCATTTTAAATATTTTTATAAAAATCAGAGTAGCTAAGATCAAATATATGTCATATTTCTATTCGCAAGTTTGTTACTTCATAAAACGCGTCCAGTCAATTTTACTTAAGAAAATGATTGATACTAATATTTCAATTTATTTGCGGTAGTATATTTTTTATATTTAATTTACCTCCATCTGTGACACATTTACTGGATTTCCCTCTATATCCATACCGCTGATAGGTATAATTGAATAATACAGACTACTGTTTAAGTCTAAATCTATACCAATACAAGTTGTAACATTGTTAACAGTGCTATTCTCATGCACATCAACAGTCTTTGGTAAGTTCTTCCAAGATGGAGGGGTGTCATTTTCGTCTTCCACCGTTATAATCACTGACACACTTACGGTCCTCTGAGGAACCCCCTTGTCTATAGCAACAACAGTAAGGTTGTAGCCAGGAATGATTTCCCTGTCTAGGTTTGCTCCAATCTGAACAGTTATATTTCCTGAAGTGCCATCAATCTTAAATTGATCAGAACCACCCTTTTCTATGAAGTAGGATACTTGATTATTAGGTATCGTTTTGTCGTTGTCCACTGCAGATACAGCTGCTACAAAGGCTCCTGTATTTTATAGAGTTATAGAGCACAGTGTAAAAAATTGATATATGCTGGAATTTTATATGAAAATAAGTACATGTAGAATTATACATACATGTATTTCCTCAACCATACTGAATTGAATACATCAATACCACTTTTTTAAATTTAAATAACTTTTAATAAACATACAGAATTTATTTCCACAAAATTAAATCTGATAGATATCTCTACCACTATTCGAATTTTCCTCTATGGTGCTGTTATATGACTGTAGAAACTCTGGAGTATTGTCGTTCATATCCTGTTATTTGTAGGAAAAAAAAATTAAAAACAGGTGAAAAAACCTGTGAATTAAATTGATTAAAGAGAAAATATATATAATCCTTGTTTTGTGGATTACATTTTCAAAATAAATACATGTACCTTAATATCTACCATCAGTGTGACATCTGTACTTTGAACAGGGGATCCATGGTCTTCTGCAGCCAAGAAGAGAATGATTTGTCCATTTAAAGCCTCTGGTAAATTTTCATAATCTATTGAACCGCTTATTGTTACAGTTCCATTTTTCTCATCCATTATAAAGTTTTTCTGAAGTCCTTGGTTGTCCTTGGAAGACACAATCCCATATGATATCTTACTATTGTTGCCAATATCTTTATCAGTAGCCTGGCAAGAAAAGAACAAACTATTTTTATTGCATTGCCTCTAAAAACAATTTATCACAGTCCTTGTAAATTTTTCTAAAAATTCTTTACACGGCACAAAAAAGAGTACTTATCAATGATGCAAATTAGTTTTAATTAAAAGAATAAAGATGCAATGAAATATATGCTGAATGACAAAACATATAAAAAGAGATGAATCTGCAAAGCAATATATATAAACATAATTTTTCCATTTACTCTCAATGAAGTATTTAAACAACCACTATACTTGTGCTAGTCTAGCGAATGTTACAAAAACATGTTTTTTTTATGTCAATATGTTAATTTCCGATTTACCTCCAATTTAAATATGGCATTTC